CGGGGGGCGGCGAAATCAAAATTATTTGCCAGCCTATGCTGAAAAATAATACAGTATTAAAATCCCAACAATCGTGAGAAGCGGTAGCGGCAATGAATGCGTCAGTTTTACTTTTAAATATCGATAAATACAACCTGTCCAAACAAAAACTCTTTTGGAGTCCTCCATTAAAAAGTAGGAAGGGGTCCTGAGGAAAAAAAATGTTTAAGAAACACTGCCCTACAGGATTGCCCAGTTCCACCCCTGAAATACTCCTGAACTGGTTCTGATTGCTAGCAAAAGAGGTCTTCTTCCTACTCCCCCCACCCCACCTGCCATGCCCCAATATAGAGAGTTGAGCAAAGCCCCCTTGGTTAAAGGCAGAGAGACATGGCTGGGTTCTGTCAATCAACTTTACTTAACCCATTGCAAAACCATCTCCTGCATTTTTTCAAAACTAGAGAGGTGTGAGGGTCCCACCAAGAATAGGGATGCTCTAGGGCAGTCTTCTTCAACCTTGGCAGCTTTCAGATGTGTGGACTTCAACTCCCAGAATTCCCCAGACTTCAACTCCCAGAATTGGCAGTCATCTGAAAGCTGCCGAGGTTGAAAAAGACTGCTCTAGACACACACAGAGTGCGCTTAGCTACTACAAACCAATAACTCTCATCTTCTGTTTCTCTCAGATGCCTTTTTCAAAAGCAGACATCCCTACTTAGACCTGTTGAACTGCCCTTCCCATACTTCCCAGTTTACAGAGCAGGATTATGGCCGCTGTTCCTGAACAAATCTGGATGGCACTCAGGTTGGGAAGGGTGGCTTGATGTGTTGGAGGCAAAGGTTGAAGGACAATGGGGTAGCTTCCTGGTAAGCCTACATTTAAATCTTTGGGCCTTTGGGAGCCTTCTTTCTCACAACCCAATTACTGTGGTTAAGTTCATCACGGTTCACCAGCCCAAGTTTCTGAGTTTACACTAAACTAAGCACTGGGTTGGGTTTTCACAGGCTAAAACCCAGTTGAGCACAGTTCTGCTCAGAGGATGCATTCACACAAAAGCCTTAACTTATTTACAGTATTAACCCATTCCCTGGGTTCACACAATATACAGTACAGTTAAGTTAACACTAACCAAGCATGTTGTGCTAATGCAGTGTTGTTCAAACTTGGCCACTTTAAGATGAGTGGACTTCAACTCCCAGAATTCCCCAGCCAGCCATGAAGTCCACTCATCTTAAAGTGGCCAAGTTTGGACAACACTATGCTAATGTGTTTGCTAAATGATGATGATTTATTAAATTTATATGCCACCTGAGTCCAGACGACTTTGGGCAGTTAGACCTTTAACTGACCTGTGTACGCATGTGAACACACTCATCGTGCCTTACAAATACAGTCTGTCTGTCTGTCTTTCTTGTACCTGAAATTTGGCCTCAGAATTTGGCTTTAATCCTTGAATTCACCCAGAGCTATTTGATCTCCTAGCAGGCAATGATGCCACTGAGCACAGATGGTCTGATAACACACAGCCAGGAATCAAAGCTCTCTCTTTTCTAATCTTCCTCTAGCTGCAGCCTTCCCAGTGTGTTGGAACACAGCTTAGAGCTGCTAGAACTGGGCTGTAAAAATCCAGATAACAGCAAAGAAGGACAGAAAACTCTACCTCTTGGAGGTCATCTAACAGGCATCCAGATTTTCACAGGCTAGATAAGTTGTAGTCTGATGCAACTGAAGGTTCTCCAGGTCAGGAAATGCAGGCTTCTGGGCCACTCAGATTCTTCTTTGGGAGAAAGAGGTGCACGTTGGCTTGGAAGTCCCACTAGCAGAATTCAGCAGAACCTTGAATTAGTCTTCATTAAGATTAGGTTTGCTAGGCAGGACTACCTCTAAGATACTCCACCCAATTTTCTGGTTCACGCAGCTAGCCACACAAAATGGGGTGGGGTTTACCCAGCATGTTAGGTAAAGAGGTGGCTGGTGTGGGATTCAGGGTGTGGTGGGAACTAATTCGCTCTCAAATAAGTCTGCCTGAAGATCTCCTTTTAGCACTGGGACAAAACAAAAGGGTTCCAGTGCGTATAAACAAGGAGCAAACCCCACCCTCACTTGCACTGATGATGTTACCTAGTTGGGTAACGAAACATCTGCAAACAAACAACCAAGCTCAGGGAGCACCAAGGATGCCACATTTCAACCCTGAGCTCCATTTATTCTCTTCTATTGGAAAAGGGTTCCTTTCAGCTTTTTCAGCATTGGCATTTGGAGGAGTTAAGGGACCAAAGGGGTGCGTTTTCTTTCATTTTAGTCATAACCCCCCACCTGACTTTCTGTGCAGCCCTTGACATGCCATGCAAAGCTTGATGAAGTCCTCAGGTTGACTGAAGTTGGGTTCTCCTGCGCTGGGGACTAGGTGTATCTTTCCTGCCAGTGGCTAGCTTCCAAACATTCAAACACAAGATCTACCCACAAGCCATTTTTTCCTGCACTGGAAACCCTTCCTCTTAACCTGTTCTCCTTTGGGCTTCACAAGGGGAAAGGGTGTTCCTAATTCCAGGAAAACAAGAAGGGTGCTCTGCAGGCACTCAGAGGCAAGTTTGTCCTTCTTGTTCTCTGGCTGCGCGTGCAACACATATAAAAAAGAGGCAGAGCTTCCATCACACTGTCATGGCACTATGTTGATTGTTTTGATCACACTGCTGGATGTCCCCTCCCCAGCCTTTGGGGCAAGGGAGAGTATTGGGCAGCAGACACTGGGCCTGACTTCTATCATTGCTCCCCTATACGTGGGGGACCTGCAACCAAATAAGCACTTGGCTTGCTATTACTTGAAAGTTGGGTTGGGGGACCAAACAAATTAGATGGAAGCAGGGGTGGGGGGAGCATTTCTGAGATCTCAGCAGCCTCCTCCTAGTGGCACTGGGCCAGTGTTTCTCAACCATGGCCGTTTGAAGATGTATGGACTTCAACTCCCAGAGATCTCAGCAGCCTCCTCCTAGGCACTGGGCCAGTGTTTCTCAACCATGGCCGTTTGAAGATGTATGGACTTCAACTCCCAGAGATCTCAGCAGCCTCCTCCTAGGCACTGGGCCAGTGTTTCTCAACCATGGCCGTTTGAAGATGTATGGACTTCAACTCCCAGAGATCTCAGCAGCCTCCTCCTAGGCACTGGGCCAGTGTTTCTCAACCATGGCCGTTTGAAGATGTATGGACTTCAACTCCCAGAGATCTCAGCAGCCTCCTCCTAGGCACTGGGCCAGTGTTTCTCAACCATGGCCGTTTTAAGGTGTATGGGACTTCAATTCCC